ATACCAAGGGCTTAAGTAGAAAGCAAACGTTTTGAGAATCATGATGGCAACAAATGTACAAATGTGCTTGACACAATGGATGGATGGATGGATTGTGATAAGAGTTGAACGAGACCCTAAGAAAATAATTTACAAAAAAACCAAACATCCTGTCGCCTCATTGCCTCAACTGAAAATCTGCTATTCATTGAGAACATTGTTTCCTCTGTGCTCTATTCAAAGGGACTGTTTGGTTTTTTCCCCTCTCTTAGGCCCCATACCTCCAAGGCCAGCGGGTACCGAAGGGCATATTCTTGATCCCATTAATACTTTCAGACTATGGTTTGCCTCTCATGCAAAATTCCCTTTGAGGCCCAAATCATCCAATTATACCATTCTCTCTCCTATTTTGGTTTTGTTATCCACCAACTTTCTAGTCCTTCTTCCTGAGCTCCTGGGCTCACAAGGCTTCCTATTTCAACTTTACTATCATTCTTAGTGATGCAATACAGGAATACCTAACAGCACCTAAAGCTCTCAATTCCTAGAGGATGTCCTCTTCAATGCCTTTTCATCCATACCACTTCAATCACTTATAGGGCAGGTTCAACATGGCTATACGTCTATCAATGCCAAAATGTCAAATGAGGACACTTACTCACTTAAGATAGGAGCCTTGGTGGTGTAGTGGTTATGCATTGGGGCTGCAATCCACGTGGGAGGCAGTTTGAAGTCACCAGCCTCTCCTTGGCAGAAAGATGGAGTTTTCTACTCCCTTAAAGAGTTAGTCTTGGGAAGCCACAAGGGGGCTACTAAGAGCTGATATTAACTCAGTGAAAGTGTATTTGGTTTGCCTACTTAAGATATTGTAATAGAATTTTCAACTCATTTGTTCAAGAAAATATTTAAATTTTTCATCTTAACCCACTAACTCCCACGTTTTTCTTTTTAATTTTAACAATTTTTTTGACATATAATTCACACATCATCATATGATTCAATAGGTTAAACATATCAAAGAGTTGTACAACCAGCAGCAATCAATTTTGGAACTTTTTCTTTTCTCTTTTACTCATTATTAGCATCTTCTTTTCCCGAAAGTACCTGCCATAACCCAAGAAATTATTAATCCAGTTACTATCTCAATAGATTTACCTATCCTGGATTTTACAAAATAGAAAATATACTGGGGGGGAAAAAGGAAAACGCAACAACAAAAGATGAAACAGATAAAAACCTCAATCAAAAAGTAACAGAAAATAATAAAAGCTAGAACAAATTTAAAATGGGTTCAAAAGGGAGAACAAGTGATCAGTTTTTAAATTTTAACCTAAATATATCTGTGTTCATCAGCTTTTCAATGCATTGTCTGGTAAGAAGGCACATCCCTGTGTAAATGGTCACAGGGAATTCACCAGAGGCTTAATCCACCTAAGGATCTCTAAATGGATTTTGGGCTTTCACTGTCAATCCCACCTTTTTTCGTGTGTGTGTGT